ATATATAGAGAGAGAGAGAGAGAGAGAGAGAGAGAGAGAGAAAGTGGAAAAAACGTTTTTTGTACTCTCGGGTCCCTTTCTTTTGTTACATTCAATTGTTACAATGTTCATGGCACCACATACAATAAACAAAACAATCACTACTTAAAGAACTCCCTGCCGTAACAGGACTCAAAATATTTATAACAAACTGAAAAAGAAGTATGACAAGGTGGCAGTCGTTAGGCTAAGGAACACGAACATCCTTACATTGAACGTTTAAAAATTCGTAAAAAATATTTTGAAAGCACAAACAAGCAAAATATATACATTTCTTGATAGATAAAAACAGGGCTATAGAATATATAAAAAAAAACAATTTTGCAAAAGAATACTTTTTCTGTGAGTGAAGGAAGAGTGTTCTGTCAGCCTTTTAGTTACAAATGGGAATCCTCATTCTCGCTCCTATTTTAATTCAGTGGTACGTATAGTAAATGTCTTCGTCTGTTCTCCAGGGGCGTGTGATTGCTCATATCTCCTTACTCCTCTTGACAAGTTCTGGTATGGTGTCTTGCACGTATTGAGGTGTGGCCGACGCATGGATCGCTTTCTTGCGCCTGGAGTCGGCGCGGCTTGGTAATCAGTGGCATATCCAGGGCGCACACCCCTAAAAGGTCTAGAGATATCATTTGTTACCTTCTTTTATTTAAAAAAATTGATTTAAAATTTTATTTCTGCTTCTTCCTACAGTTAAAATATTAAAAATAAAGATTCTTTCCCTTAATTCAATCTGATCCTTGAAGATATACTTTGAAATAAGGTCATGTAGAATTTTTCGAAATTTTGAGTATTTTTCGTGTAACTTTACTTGAAAAGTAGGCAATTTTTAATTTTCTTTTAACCATTTTTTCTCAAATTATTTAAAACCTATTTGAAATAAATATGAAATAAAGATTGCTCGCCTTTGTTTCCCGCTTCCAATTTAAGCAGTTGGATGCTACGTAAGTTAGAATTTGTACATTATTTCATATTTCATTTTATTATTATTATTATTATTATTATTATTATTATTATTATTATTATTATTTACCATATATTTACGTTATATCATTTTAAATTGCGTCCTTATTGTGTGAAATGTGAAAATGAATACATGAGCGGTCATTGTTGGTTGTTACCCATTGTTGTAACGCCGCACAGATAACGGAAGGCCATAATGACGGCAGCTTTTCGTTCACGGTTATAAAATCGAATACTTTTATATATTTGGAGAATATTACAATACCATAGTGTTTAATAAGTACTATTACATATTTTTAGATCTCTTTGCATTTGTTTGCCAATTCTGTTAGTATTATATTATTTATTAACTTTTAATTATTTTACTTTCTTGCATACTGCTTATTTTTCGCACCAAATGTTCTACGATTTCAAATTAGTTTTACAAAACATAATTTGGAGAGAAATTGTGATATAAACAGTATTGCATAACCAATACAACTGGCGAGAAAGTATGCGCTGTTTTAACACCACTAGTTTCATTTGCCATAAGATAAGATAGAGACCGCCGCCATAGAGTAATGATATATACCGTACCTCCTTAGTCTTTGACGCCACCGTTGTCTTCCTGCATTTCCTCTTCTTCTTTGTCGTCGTCTTGTTGGTCTTTCTCGTCATCTTCCTCCTGGACTCCTCCCCCTACTTCTACACTTGCTGCTTCTGTCTCAGCACCTGCGTGTGCTCCTTCTTTCTTCTTTTCTATTTCTCCTTGTCTTTTTCATTTTCTTCTTCTGCTTCTTTGTCATTTTTCTTTTCCTTCTTCCTTTTCAACTTGGCATCCCGTAGACTGCAGGGAACTTTTAGTCTCTTGGTGTCTTTCCTTTCTCTTCATTCTGTTCTTCCAAAATTTCTATTCTGAGCTTCCTCCTCCTTTCTTCTGTTTTCTTTCTCC